ATATAGCCAATATCATTCTGAAAGAGGAAAAAAAGGAATTATTTCCTCTAAAATCAGAACAAGCCAAACGTGTGCAATCTTACCAGTCCTATTCAATATAATACTTGAAGTTTTAACCAGAAAAAATGATAAAGTAATAAAGGGGATACAAATATGAAAGGAAGAATTCAAATTATCATTATTTGCAAACAATATGATTCTATATTTATAAAACCCTAAAAACTCCAAAAACAGACTTTTAGAGCTGGTAAATTTAGCAAAGTATCAGGATATAGAAACAACATTTAAAAATCTATAGTTTTTCCTTACACCAATAATAAACTAGCTGCGAGAATATCAGGAAGAATTCAAATTATCATTATTTGCAAACAATATGATTCTATATTTATAAAATCCTAAAACCCCCCAAAAAAAGATTTTTAGAGCTGGTAAATTTAGCAAAGTATCAGGATATAGAAACAACATTTAAAAACCATTGGTTTTTCTTTACACCGATAATGATCTAGCTGAGAGAGTATCAGGAAAACAATTCCATTCACAATAGCTTAAAAAAAAAAAACCTAGGAATCAACCTAATGAAAAAGCAGAAAGATCTCTACAATGAAAATCACAGAACACAAAAGAAAGAAATTGAAGAAGACACTAGAAGATGGAATGACCTCCCATATTCACGAGTAGGCAGAATTAATACTGTTAAAATGCCCATGTTACCAAAAGCAATCTACAGATTCAATGCAATCCCCATTGAAATTCCAATGACATTCTTCAAAGAACTACAGAAAAACAATACTAAAATTCACCAGGGAACACACAAGGGGGTTAGTATCACTTGAGGAACTGTCCTCTTGTGAAATGTTTAAGTACTAATGGTGTTTCCAGATTCAATCAGCAAACAGCATTTCAGGGCCTAGGGCAGAGAACATGGGCTTCCTCTCCAGCAGTCACATTTGCTTCTGCAAGGTGGAAGCATGCCAACCCTAGCTGATTTTAAAACAAGTCATCAGAAGATCTTATCCATGGCTAATGGAACATCCATTTCTTAAGCACTTTCACGTATTACAACAGTTTGTAGATGCAGCAGATGTGACCAGATTGGGAAGAAATGAGTAATAAAGCCAAAAAAGGGAGGGAGAGGAAGGGAAATGAAAAATGTCACTTCCATGGTTGTTTTGTGGCTGTTTACGATGTTCAGCATTACAGTCAGCACATTTCCAAGAGTGTAGATGAGCAATGCCCCAGACACTGAAAGTGTAGTTATATATATATATATTTTTATATATATATATATATATTTAATTACATGTGTATTTTCCACATGCATAAACTACATATTATGTTATGCTGTTTACATTTATGTAATTGTATTCAAAGCCCTTCAAATACATAATAAGTAGAGAGCTGATCGGTCACACACTACATCATGAGTGGCTAGGAGAACTCTAATTTAGGCTCTTCCTTACTGTGGGACCCTGGGCTAGTAGTTACATTTCTGAGCTTTAATTTCTTATCTTTAAGGTGGGGGTACTATCACCCACACCTTGGAGTTTTATGAGAGTGAAGTAGGACGTCTGAGGCCCACACACAGTAAATATGTGTTGGACCTAAACATAGCCACCCACCTTCTTTGCTTCTAAGCACAGGAGAACCAGACACCCGAAGCCCAGAATAAATAATTTCCCAAAGGCACACAGTGATCACTTACACTGTACTCCCACCCGAGGCTTTCTCCTCAAGGACCCTCTCCCCAGTGCTAACTATGCCTTGCCTCCCCCAGGACAAGCTAGTAGTCTCTGTCCCTGCATGTGGACCATAATCTAAGACCTTCTGCCAAGAACATACGAGGGAAGCCACATGCACCTGCAGTGCCCATGTTCTACTGGGATCCCCAGCCTCAGCCATACCTAAGCCCCCTAGCCTTGCACCAGGATAGGTCCAAAATACCTTCTTAATATTTTCTTTTAGTATTGTCATGGGTTTGATGGCGTGTGATCCACTGTCTTAGAGATGCATCACAAAAAGGAAACCTGAGATGAGGATTCATGTGCAAGCAGTTCATTAAGGAAGGACTTCCGGAAGTAGCTGGGCAGGAAGATGAGATGCTGGGGAGGATGCCTTGCAAGGGTGATTGTAGCCAAGCCTCATCCTCCGCCTGAGCTCAGGGATGCAGAGCCGGGAAAACTACTCCTCAGAGCTGCTCCAACTAGAGGCAGGGCAGCTCCTCTTCCGTTCCCCTGTGCCAAGGAGGAGTTGGTTCTAAGACCCCAAGGGCAGCACTCTGAAGCCAGAGGCAGGTGCCAGCCCTGAGAAGGGATGCACACCGGAACTGGGGTGAGTCCAGGACGACAGGGAGCTCTGAGCAGAGCCCCAGCAGCATCTGCTACAAGAACCAGCCTCAAAGGAGGACTCAGAACTCTCTGTGCTCTCAGGTCATTGAATTTCCCCTCATCCCTGTTCAGCTCATCTCCAAACCCTGGCACATTCTGCCAAAACCATCACCCCAGGCACCAGAGCTGGCTGGTGATGGGATTTAGCAAAATGGAACGCTGCAGTCTCCTCTGGTAGACGGCTTTCTCAGCAAGGGTGCAGGCCGCTGCTCAGTCTGAAAATTCAACAGACACCATAGTAGGTTCAGGGGATATAAACATGATCAAGACAGAAGACCCCTGCCCTAGAGCAGCTCCCAGTTGTGGGCAATCTCCCAAATGGAAAATTCTGCCTGATTTTATGCCACATGCTTAAGAATATCCCATTTTCTATGAGAAAAGGGAAAAAAACAGAAACAAAGTCTTTGCAAACAGAGAAGGGTGGAGGAGGTGAAGGGAGGGCAGGGGAAAGGGAAAAAAATAAGAACCAAGATACATCATGAAAAGGTACAAGATCCCAATGATGAATGTAACTGTATTTTATATCTAAAATGTATCAATAAACAATGGGGAACAAAAAAAGAATATCCCATTTCCAACAATATGTGATTCTGTCTTCAAAATTTCAGAATCAACAGTAATATTTTTAAAACATCATTCCACATGGAACTACAAAGAGATGCTACCTCATAAGGAATTAAATGGCTAAATGAAACTACAAGACAGTAACCCTAATACTATTTCTAATAGTAATGATAATGATAGGCCATCTGGACACCAAGGTTCTGAATATCTAAACTACTGGATTAATCCCAGAGGCTCCAGGTAGCAGCTCCAATAGCTAACACTATCCAAGTATGACCACAAAATTTAACTGGCAATTTGAGAGGCTAAATAAAAAGATATGCTAGGGCCTTTGGTTCAAATTTTAAAATGCATCAAGTGATTGTATCTATTTTAACACACTTTCTATGAGATGATACTCCAGAGTAATGAGACTGATTATTAAATACCCTTGGGTTACCCAGCCCTACAGCATAGTAACGTCACATCTAACTTGGGACAGTCAAGACATACCACAAATACTGCTCACAGTCACATACCATATTAGCTTGCAAGAGTTGCCACTTCTTGAAGAAATAAAAAGGCTACACAGGGAATGTGGACAACATACCATGCCAGGCCATGCACGTCCCAGCAGGTCCTTCTATGTAAGAGACCCTCCCTAACCCCACTTTACAGTGGAAGCCCTTGATGTTACACAGGTTAGGAAGTTGATGAAGACCACAGGACAAATCTCATGCTTGATCCTGAGTCAAAACCCATTCTTTTAACACCACGCTATGGTGGCAACAACTCAAAACCCAACAATCCTGGCAATGAACCAGCTGGTTCCAGGTGTCTTTGTGGGGCGTCCTGGTCACCAGGGCTCTCACTCTGCAACTGTGATGTTAGAAGAAGATCATTTTCTTTTCACTACACAATGTTTGCTAAGATCAGCCAATAAAGAAAAACCATAGGGATCTATGATGATTGGCGTTAGCCAACACTTTAGTGATACAAAGAAGTCAGTTATTTTACCTAACCTCTCTCTTGATATCCTTATCATTTGGGATTTTTTCTCTTACATGTGGTTAATTTGTTGTTTTGTTTTGTTTTGTTTTTGTTTTTGTATTTTGGTACCGGGGATCGAACTCGGGTCCTTGAGCTTGCACAGCAGGCGTCGAAACCACTGAGCCAAATCCCCAGCCCTGTTTTATTATTTTTTAAATTACATTCTTCACAGTATCTAAGTGACTCAAAAGTCATTGATATGGGGCTGGGGATTTAGTTCAGTGGTGCCGCTGCCTGCCTCGCAAGCACAAGGTCCCGAGTTCAATCCCCAGTGCCAAAAAAAAAAAAGTCATTGATATGATTTACTGCCAGATCACAATTAAAAGTACATTACAAATTCATCTTGGCACATGTTATCTGTAGCAAAAAAACAAAAAAGAGGACAGAGAGAAAGAAAATAAGAAACTATGGAAGAGACTTTTGAAACTTACCTCTGCTGAGCTTTCCGGAGTGATTTTACTGTTGTTTATGTGTAAATATGTGTGTTTTAAAGCATTTCTGTTTCTAGTACTGTTCTCACTAAGAATATTTCTTTATCGATGGAAGAATTTAAATGTAATAAAAAACCTGCGGTGCAGCACATAATCTATTCACAATTAAACTGTCAAAGGAATACGAAATTCTTATCATCCCTTCAGACTACATGCCAGAAATCTCACTAACAATATTCTCCAGAAATCAGCAAATTAAAAACTTCCAGCATCCGTGACACAGCTACATATACAAACCGTGGCATGCGTGCCAATTCTAAATAGTACTAGGTCTCAAAATGAAAAGCAACAAAGACAGGTCTGTATTTCACCAAAGAAACTAAAAGAAATTTGAATTTCTAAGTTGAGTGAGTAGCACAAATATTTGCTGAGTGTGAAAGAGATGAAAATAGAATGGAATCACACTTCAATTTTTAATAAATCAAAGGGGGAAAAGAAACATGCATTTAATTAATAAGAGAACCCACTGGTTGTCAAAACCTGTTTGAGGCCCCAGAAATCTTGATAATAACTCAAAAAATGCTTTCCTTACTTGCCATCAATGAGCACTTCAGACTGCCGATTATTCACTTGATTATCACTCTTGTGGCGAAACTGAAAAAGAAAAATGAAAGTGTGCTATGGAAAACCATAAATCATATTTTATCAGCCCAAATAGGAACACTGGAAAGATTCGGAGGTAATCTGTTTGGAAACTATTGCCACTGGCCCAACATAAACCCAAGTTTATACTTATCTACAACCCAGCCCATGTTCTAGTCTAAATCAACACACATCTCACGAAAGCTCATTCTGGGCATCACCAGTGAAAGAATTCTAGCCACCTGCCAGGCTCACAATTCGGATTCTCACACATTTTCAGTCACTTCGAGGAAGACAACATGCTTTTCATCCCAACACATAGTCCCAGAGAAAACTATACATTAATCCTGATGACTTATCACAGAATGGGTGCTTCCAACTCTCTCCCAGATGTACTCAAAACTTTACTAGAACATCATTCATTCCGTTTTATGGATTTCTTTAAAGTCAAGAAATTACTTGTAACAATGCATATTTTTATTCTCCAAAAATTCTAATACTAACGAATATCTTATGAAATACCAAGTATTTAAAACAAAAATCAGAATGCAATACTGAACCGCATTTGGTGTGGGTTTTTGTTTTATGCCCAAGTGACAATATTTCTTTTCTTTTACTATTATTTTATTGGTACATTTTAGGTGTACAATATAATGACATTCATCATTGGAAATTTGCACCTTTACATATTCTCTCTTGGTTCTTATTTTTCCCCCTTCCCCTGCCCTCCCTTTA